CAGTGACAACACAACAAGGTTAATGCTGACAGACGTTGCATGAACCTTATTCCGTTTGTCCCTGTACTACGCGTATGATTGACGAGGACATAAAGTACTAAAAAATGTTAGAGTAAGAAGGAAAAAGAGAAGTTGGTTAGAGATCCTTTTAAGTGAAGTAACCTCCATCTGGCTCCCTCTTGTTGCAGGATGCATTTGTCTACAAGTTGTTACTAGTTTGTTCAAAGAATTTAGATTTTAGATTATCCTACCTCTTGTTGAATGCTGGAGATGCATCTCATAATTCATTATGGGGGTTCCAATCTCATGGCAGTATTAACTGGTCTATACAAACATAAATACACCGTGGACTGTTCTCACTGACCGAAATGAGTCTGTAGCACCAAGGATCAAACTCATGTACCGTTAGTTGGCGTTAAAGGTCTTGTTTACATATTCTTTGATTTCCTAAGTTAAGTAATAACCTCCAGCTTCTCTAATGTAAATAATTGCTGCTTTTAAGTCTTCCATATCAGTAAACTGAACCTCTCTGGTGTTTTGCCCTATTATTAACATTCGGATGGAAATTTCTCACTGTTTTCTGGCATTCTATAGACGTAGTGATTACATTGTCACTTACAGCCCTAACTGTTTATGTCTGTAGTAAACAGGTTGGGATTTCTGAGCAAAGAGGCAGAAACTGGACTCGACATAATGAGCTTAGCTCCTGTTTCCATGTTGGCTTGTAGAAGTAGGTGGCTGGACATCATCAGCCTAACTGAGAGAGAGGCAGGACGTGGGGTTGTCTAACCTTAGAAGAATGCAGTAGCGGGTGTCTGTGTGTGTGTCTGTGTGTGTGTGTGTGTGTGTGTTTTGAGTGTCGCGAATCTGAAATGTGCGCAATCTTCCAGCTGCAGGAACATTTCCATTGTCAAACGTTAATCTGTAGTGACTTTCACCCCCCCGTGCCCTTGTCCTTGTGTCCACGGGGAATCTCTGTGAAGCACAAAGCTGGAATGTCAGGGGCCTCAGTAAAGGACCTTTACTGACCTTCTTATTTTGATTTGTGCGTACAGAGGAGTAAATATGCAGATAATACCTTGTTTGTAAGTTATGAATCCAGGAAAAAGGATTAAAATAATCAGAAATAAAATAATATATAAAGCTCAGTAGACTTGTGTGTGTGTGTGCCTGAAACCCTGTGCCTGTGTTGTGTTTGTGTGTGTGTGTGTGTGTTTGTGTGTGTGTGTGTGTGTGTGTGTGTGTGTGTGTGTGTGTGTGTGTGTGTGTGTGTGTGTGTGTGTGTGTGTGTGTGTGTCAGACGGCAGAATGGAAGGAAAGCAAGTAAATACAAGATTGTTTTGTTATCTGGGCCACGTTTGGCTCAGGAGGATTTGGTTTCCGTCCTCCGTCTTTGGGCAGACATGCCGGGAATCTGCAGCCCAGGAGAGAGGATGAAAAGCAAAAAGGGGGTGGGGGAAACTGATCTTGTGCACGAATCACTAGAAGTGCTGATCAAGCTTGTCTGTCTTGGCTAAATGTGGTACTATTGTTGCCAAGTGCAAAATTTTACAAGCAGGAATCCCATTAGCCTTTTTTTTTTTTTTTTAACAGGCTGGTTGGCAAACGTCTGCCACCCTGCTCCCGTGATTGGTTAGGAGCAGGGAATGATGCCAACCAGAGACAGGAAGCTGTCATCCAGTCTTTAAGAGGCCTGTGATAAATTCGATGCATCGTTGTCATGGTTGCACGCAAATGAACAGCAACATTGGCAGCGTGGTTGTGAGCTCTTAGCACACACATCCAACACGATGCTTTCCATCAGAGAGACAGCCACACAGAAAAACACAGCTGAAGACACATGACAGCTCAGATTGCTGTCACTTATTGTCAGTTAGCTGTCCAAAGGGAGCAAGGACAAAGTCTCACACTGTAAAAGTCAGTTACAGATGAGCTGCGTTGCTTTTAAATGGGGTTTTTGCCACAAACCAAAGAGGCTTTGGTCTCTCAAACTCACAAACTGAGTCTTAAAGCATATATTTTATTTCATCTGAATGAACGACGCGTGTAGTGGCGTTATTGAGTGCATTGTGTAACTGCTTTTAAGACTTGACGGGAAACATTCATGCCTTTTTGTCTGAAGCGCAGTTTTATGACTTGAGGGCGCAATAGTGACTATGATAAAGCAGCCACATGCTTGCTCTTTCAGTACTCATTTTCATACAGGAGGCTTTTCTGCAGCCATAAACTTTCCATTGCCCTCGCTCATTTCCTTAAGTGCCTATAAATGCCTGCTGTAGTATTGTTGTCTCAACCTTTTCTACTGAGGGCAGTTACAGTGAAATACATTAGATTATATTGGACTTAAATTAATCAAACCCAACAGAAACACTGTAGAAAATCAGGACATTTGCATGTTGTTTTTTTGCCAAACATTTGCTGTTTTTACATTATTTACTGTAATTTATGACAAACAAAGCAGCAAATTGGCTATCTTTTTGGTTTTACACTGTTAGTCAGTCAGACAAAACAAGACATTTGAAGGTGTAACATTGGACTGTTTTTAAAGCCCAAAAGATTAGTTTCTCCACTAATAATCAATAATGAAAGTAATCGTTAGTTGCAGCCCTAGCGGTCAGAGGGTAGTGAGGTCTGTGATTAACTGAGACATTGACAAATGAGTCAGCAATGTCTCCTTTAGGAAATAAAATGTAACTTTTGAGCACCTAAAACCGAAACTATCATCATGGCAGCACTACCGGGGCTAAATGGAAACCATGTGTATATATAAATGTGTGTGTGTATATGATGGAAAATGACATCTGCTCACTGCAGAGCCAACTGTTGCCTCCAGACACTCAATAACCAGCTGATGAACACTGGGAGCAGGGTCAGTACCCAAGCTGATGACCATTAGCTGATCCCTCTGAATATCAGAAAACGCATCAGCCTCTATCTGGTGCTTCTGTCCTATAATGAGGAACCTGTAGGACCTGGCCGCCTGCCACTGCTAAAGCAGCAGACGCAGATTTATTGTATTGAGTTGGCCCAAATAAGCAGACACAGTCCATTACACCACCATCATTAGAGCAGCAATTGATCCAATTAAGTTGCCATAGAACGAGGGCGACTGGACATCCAGAAACACGTCAAAACTCATTTAAGAATGACAAAGAGGGCAAGTCTAGGTCACTTTATCTTGGGTAAATGTGTGTCTTAGCAGGGTGCCGCAGGTGTATTTGAGTCATTCTTCATTTTGACTGCGTTTCAGTGGGTTGAGATTGTTGTGTAAATGTTGTGGCTAAACCATCAGGGCTTCCAGCTAAGGTTGATTTAGATCTGTCGCTAAGTAAATCTCATCACGCAAGGACAAACCCTGAATCAACACAACAGGCTGCGTTCTGAAAAACTCTCCTCACGCACAACTAAGACCTTGTGTAATGGGGGGGGGGGATTACATAGACAAAACCATATGCAGGTATCAGTGGTGCAGCGTCTCCAAAACAAGGTTAAAGTGTTCTTGGTGTAACTTTGGGAGCAGATAGAATATTATCAGTTGATTGTAGTTGGACATCCTGTGCTGCTGTGTTTTGTGATTGTGGAGGGAAGAGTGTGTGTGTGTGTGTGTGTGTGTGTGTGTGTGTGTGTGTGTGTGTGTGTGTGTGTGTGTGTGTGTGTGTGTGTGTGTGTGTGTGTGTGTGTGTGTGTGTGTGTGTGTGTGTGTGTGTGTGTGTGTGTGTGTGTGTGTGTGTGTGTGTGTGTGTGTGTGTGTGTGTGTGTGTGTGTGTGTGTGTGGGGGTGTGTGTGTGCGGGTGTGGGCTTGGGCGGGGGCGTGCGCGGGCGTGTGTGTGCGTGGGCGTCCGTGCGCGTGTGTGTGTGTGTGCGCGCGCGTGTGGGGGGGCGTGGGGGGGGGGGGGGGCCCGTCAGTCCGTCTAAACGTGCCAAGAAAACCAGCAAATATTTACATTTAAGAGGCTGAAACTAGTGACTGTTTGACATTTTGAAAATTACTGAAAATACCAGTCAAGTGTTAGGGCTTCCTTTTCTGTCCATTGACTAATCATTACGATATGACTACTCTAAAACTTGATAAAACACTAGTATCACTTTATTTCTGTAACTCAATCAGTACATCTCCTCTGAGCCACATTAGGTAAATCAGAACAGAATATTTGGGGATTTTTCTGTTAATCTGACAAAACAAGACATTGGAAATTGTTACCTTGAGCTCTGGGAAATTATTAATGGGCATTTCCACTTTTTTAAGTTGTATCTACTAAAAAAAATAGGAACTACTACAGCATACAACCTTTTGCTATTGACTGATTTAGCTGATCAACATAACTCTCAAAACTCACTGGTGTCAGTATCTCAAATGTGAATATTTGCTGAATTCCTTGGTCTTCTATGAGTGCATTGGAAATGTTTGAGTTTAGGACTTTTGGTTGGGCAAAACAAGCAGTTTGAACACTGCTGGGACTCTGACTTCTAAAATAAAAATGAAATGGTGGTGATTTCCCAGATAATTACTAATATGTGGTTGCAGCTTATAAATGTAACTTCTCCTCCAGAGCACAGCCTTTTCCTGTGCACTCACCAAACATAGTCGCGCACACACGTCAGATTGCCCCTGAACATTGCCCTCTCTTCATCTGCCTGTATTAATATTCATGTAATTTGCATACTAGTTACATGTTTCTTCTGGCAGTATGAAGGTCAGACCAGAGAGACACCACCAATTCTGAATTTGTTTCAAATGTGTTTATTTGTCTCCTAAAATATATCAAACAGAATCAATTTTAAAAGTCTGAACATTCATGGAGACTTTGTTCCTTCTTACAACATTGCCATCACACTAGTGTGATTTACAGTTCAGTTTTAGCTTCTCCCGGAACCGTTTCATGATTGAAACTCACCATGTGTATGTATTCACACAAAAGCTTCACAAGTACTTCCTGATACGGTATTCAAACTATTTGGCTTCCAGCCCTCACATTCATATCCTCCTCTTCTCCCTGCAGGAGCTGTCTGAAGGCCGGCACCTCGACAGATTAGGAGAGCAGGCAACAGACGGACAGACCAGACTGACAGACATCTGCAGTGGCACAGCGGGCAGCAGAATGGCGTCCATAGCTGAGTACTATGCTGGCAAGAACGTGCTCATCACAGGAGCCACAGGCTTCATGGGAAAAGTGCTGGTTGAAAAGCTGCTGAGGTCTTGTCCCGAAGTCAAAGCCCTCTACCTCCTGGTCAGACCCAAAGCCGGGCAGTCCATGCAGCAGAGGGTCAGCGACATGATGACTTGCAAGGTAAGGGCTAAATGGTTTTACGTAATATGTACGATTTATCCCCCCCCTGCTACCTTTAGTACTCAAGATTGCGTGCATATCATTGTAAAAGGAGAAATAACTCCCAAGGCCACTGATTATATAATGCTGATGTTAAAACAAAGTATATTTCAGTTGTTCCATGCACATTACAATCTAATATATTTTGTTGTCTCAGCCAGTAACGTGTTGTTTTAGATACAAATACATTGGTTTAGGCTGTAGATTTGGTGTTTAAGGGAGAGTGGTATAGTATGTCAAAAGAGACGTCATTCAACTGCATTATTCTATATATGGCAGTTCTAGATTAGATTACCTGTTATTTAGGATGGTAGAAACCTTTAGAAAAGTGATGACTGAAGAATGGTTTACAGCTAGATACATGAGACTTTCTTTTTTTCACCACCATCCCAGAACTCACAAGGAGGAGCACTGACATTGTTCCACAGCAGCCACACCTGCCTGCAGATGTGTCTTGGACATGTTTATGGGCCTTGCAAGCGCAGGCGTCGGCTGATGTTCCAGTATGTGACGATACCCTTGTGGCATTACATTTTCCACCATATTTTCCGAAGTTTGAACAAAGCGAAAACACTCAGGCAGTGCCCATGTTGGCTGTAGCCTAATTGGTCTTGCAATAATTTGAACCACAGCAGACAATTAATGTGGAGAAGCAGCCAAAAAGGGAGCCATTTGACAAAGTGCCTCAATTAAACCATTACAGCAGCACCTCTCAGGCCCTCCAACCACGTGACATTCGGTATATTTAGACATTTTGACTAATGGGCTGTTGATTTTAATCATCATTCAAAACCAGGGCTGTTCAAATGGCATTGTGGTTGTACGTGAGTTTATGGAGCAATAGAACATTTGCCTGTGAAATTACAGCAGCAGCTGCTGTTGCCATGGTGACGCAAACTTAATGACCCCAGAAGAGTCCAATAGTTCATCTTTGAGCCTTCAACTGAGAGACACAAAGAGTCAGAGAGCAAAGTGAGAGGAGTCTGAAGAAGAATACTAAAAGGTTAAGTGAACTTGAAGCTACCTGATTGAAAATATCTGGTGTGTTTGTGCAGAAGGGAGGAAGGTGAGAATGAGGAAGGTGGATAATGAAGGCAGGAGGTGAGGGGGAAAGGATGGAGGCCAGAGATATCCGAGGAAGAGAAGGTGGTGGTGGTGGAGGGGGAGGAGGCTCCAAATATGTGGCATCAGCTGTATCAGGGCCAAGCAGCAAAGCATGACTCAACAAAAAAACCCTCCAAACTCTATGTTGGACTTAATAAGGGCCGACGCATCGACACTGTGTGTATTGACGCGCTCAAAAGCAGCTGCCGCGGCTGCTGCTCTGCTCGGCTGTTGTTGGCCTCAAACTGTCAGAACACCTAAAGAAAATCACACTTTCGCTGTATTCCCCTTTCTCTTTCTCTGTCTCCCTCTAATAGCATCTATTTTTACCGCTCCCATTGAACCTCGGTACTGCATTCATTATTCTACTCACTGCTGTAATAGCAGCCGAGCAGCAGTCTGATGATCTATCCCTTAATTTACTTTTTTTTTTTTTTCCTTTATTTCCCCCTACTTCTGTCGAGGTAAGCTTCATGCTCCGGCCATCCCAGATTCATAGAACATCCCTCTCACCGCGTAATTAGTTCACTGTGACACAAACAGGTACTGTAAAGGTGCCGGTTAGCAGCAACCTGTAATTTATGAGCAGCATAAGTGTGGGCGATGGAGAGAGGATGTTATCCCTTTTTTTTTTAATGCACATTCCTTCTCTGCTTTGGCTTTTAAGGAAGAAAAGAAGCGTTCCTCTTAACCTGCATCCGTATTCAGAGCAGGCACTCGTAAGCCTGACAAAGACTGACAAGAAGACAGTAATTGAGCTAAATGCTAACACCAGCATGGCAATTACTTTAGCATCCTAGCACACTAACCTTTGTGTTGGACAAACACTCAGTTTGACCTGATGATGGCGCTAGATGAAAGGTCGGGGGGGGGGTTATTACAGTTCATCTTTAGTTGAACATGAATGTCTGAACAAAAATTTCATGGCAATCCACCCAATAGTTGAGATATTTCAGTCTGTACCGAACTGATGGTCCAACCGAGCCAAGAAACATTCCCACGCACAACCCCTATAAAACCATAAACTGTTGGTTTTATCTGATTTAGACTAATGCGATATATGTCGAGTTAATTACGGGGCTTTAGACGCGTTGTTGGATCGTATTTCTTTTACCTTTTTTGGACAGAGCCAGGCCAGCTGTTTCCTCGTCTTAAGCTTAATTACCAGACTACTGGTGGCAGGTTCATATTTGATGGACAGATATGAGAGAGGTATCTAACGCTCAGAATTAAAGTGAAATAAGCGTATATTCCAAAATATTTAACTATTCTTTTAAGCTGAGACTGCTGACACAGCAAATCACAAAGTGGTAATAACAGAGAGTGAGGATAAACGGTAGACGATTAAAAGTCCACCAACCTGACATGTAAAATTTCAAGATTCCCGTTGCGCGTTAGTAAGTATTTAACCCACTTCATCTTCACAGATATCGATGTATAATTTATCTGCTGCTAGTGTTTGCATCATTTCCCCCTCAACTATTTTCCATTGGATTTGGCATCACTCTGATAGTGTCTGCTATCAGGACACTGCTTGATGCTCTGCCAACTACAGACTCGCTCACGCTCGGGCCACATTCAGAAGTTATGTCATTAAATTTCCATGACCAAGCCTCAAGTACCAATTGGTATTCATGCGAGTCCTCAGGTCAGTATTATTCTATTCACCACCAGGATAATTCATGAAGGAGAACAGTGGCTCTGTCTCTTGAGTAGCCTCTCCTCTCATCCTTCAAGCCGGCCCAGTATCTTTTTTACCACCTGTTGCTAGGTAACGACCAAGAGATCTGTCCCGTGGGTTTTTTTTTTTTTTTTTTTTCAAAGGATGCAATCAGGGGAGCTGCCCCGAGCTGGACGGGGACAAACCGATAGGAATCTCATTGTCTGTGTGCCTCTCCACTGCACCGACTTTGACATTTAAGCGCTGTCTGTCTGTGCAGAGGCTTCTTTGATCCAGTGGAAATGTTTAGACGCCTGGAGCCCTTGCCGCGGAGCCAGGCACTGACTGGCATGTCAGGCACTTGATACAAGTAGGCCTCTGGGTACACAGAGCCTCTTTCCCGCCGTGACATGCTTTTCTTGCCCACCAGTGGGCTGTTGAACCCAGTAACGGTCTTAAGTTCCAGCTCTGAGGCTGTGCAGCATCTTCATACTGCAAGTCCACCACTGTAACTGCAAGAGGAGAGGGTCAGATGTTGGGTGGGGTAGGTGGGAGCTGGAATGTCTTTTGGGTAGGAAAGGATCTTGTGGAATTTTGCCTACAAGGCTGGATCCTAGATGGGGTGGGCCGGCTCAGTGTTACTGTAGAATGACTATTGATTTGTTGCTTTAGAGGCTATTGGGTGATCAGTGTGGCAGCTGTAACACAGACGGCTATGGGTGATACTGGATTTTGTGTTTGTGTGCTGACTGCATGAGGATTATCTACAGGCTCTTCAGGAAAGGAACAGTCCCCTACTACTGAAACCACTAGTTGAATGATGGATGATCAAATCTGTGCACATAAAAGTAGCTAATACAAATACAATAAGACAAACCAATAACCAAAAACACATTTTCTGCTTTATATAAGCCAAAAACGTTACAAATTTTCCCGGATAAATATAAGTGCTTGTGATCACTGATTCAAAATAGGCGTCGTCATTTTAACCATTCAGCAAAATAAGTCTTTGTCTGACTCTTCCATTGTGGGAAACAATCATTGAATGGAAGAACCTGCAGAGTAATGTATTTATCAATCTGCTGCAACATCTGCTGATTCCTGCTTTTTAAAATATTTCTATTGTTTGTACTATTTTCAACTATGATAGCCATTATACTAAATGTTAGGACGCGATAAAGCTCAAACAAAGCCCTAAAAGCCCAGATTTGGCTGGTCAAAGTGCCCAGCATTGCCCCACCCCGCATCAAACTCTTTCTGAGCAGATACTTTCCACCCTGTGCGTTCTCCTTTCACCACATTCTCCGATTAAACAAAGCCTACCTGTTTTTACTATTATTAATGTACTGTCACTTGTTGCCAGTCGGTGAATTCAAACGTGGTCTAATGGGATGGAACAGAGCAGGTGAGAAGTTTGAATAAGTTGTTTATTGAGCAGATGTTGTGTTGTTGCTTTTGAAAAAAGGCCATGGTCTTTTTAAATGAATGAAGTAAACAAAAAGGCACAATTATATTACAACACCTAAACAAAATGGATAAGTTGTAAATACATTTAGAAGTGCAATAGATTTTTGATTTCTGCTTTTCCCATCTTACTTTAACATAACCGGAGTATAGTAGTTAGTTTTTATTTTTATTATTTTAAACTGGTTTGACTCACATTGGTGTGGTGTTTTCCTTCCGCTTTCATCCCCTCGTGTTGGCATGATGAACAACACGCCCTTAACCGATTCATGGTCTGCCTAGACTCTAAGATGGGAGAGATGGCTGGTGATTTACCGTGTTTAAACACAGACTGACGTATCTCATTGAGCGGCTGTGCTACAGTTATGAAAGAGCTTCATGCCTAACATGCCTGGAATATCAGCGTCATTGAGATGTCACTGCGGATACAGGAGACACACCTGTTTCTTTTTATATATTCATATTCAAACCAGGGTGTGTTTGTGAATGTGGCAGGCACTAGTCTATGTTAGTGACACAATACAGCACAACCACACTAATGATTAATGTTTTGCAAGCTCTGAAAATTATCACTCACAAAGATCCAGGCGGATGTCGCCTGTATCTTAATGGATCTCAATCTTTCGAGTTGAGCAACGTCGTCTCAGTTCCTGCATGAGACTTTTGCATGTTTGTTGGAGGCTTTAGTAAGAACTTGCAACAGCTAAATTGTCAATAGTGGTGCATCTTAGAG